TTGGTTTTGGTTCAGATGCTCCTGGGGAGAGGTGATGAGGGTAGGGCGAGGGTACGGACTCAGAGAAGAGAAAAGAAATAATAAAGTGTTATTTGAGATCATCCCTTCTTGCCCTCTCCTGGAGCCACGCGTCTCTCTCTGCTCCTGGCTCTGTCTGCCCTCCCAGCACCCAGGCACAGGCACAGTGCTGAGTGTGCTAAATTAGGCCATTAGAGAAATTCATTTCTCTTTATTAGTCTGTGTCAAATCCTTTTTATTAGTGGCTGGAAACGACCTCTCTTCTGCAGTAAAATGTCATGCCAGTTCACTCCTTTTATTTGTTCTGCACTGACGAGGCTCAAACTCTCACTGAATTGGTGCAGTGAGATTTATTTCTTCCAAATTTTGAATGGCTTAAGAGAGATTGGGGTGGAGGGGGCGGTCAGGCGGAGGCGACATGGAGGAGAAGAGGGGAAGAGATCGGAGAGGGAGAAGGTGAGCTCTTATGGAGGTCAGATGTCCTTGGCTCTTTGGAAATGAAGTCTAACGGCCATCTTTCACATCTTGTTCATCACTGTCTGGGCACGGGAACCAAGTTTCCGTATGCCTGCTTCTAGCCTCCGAAGGGACTTGATCTGCAATGAGAGTGACCTGGACAGCAGCAACAGGAATTCCTTTAAACCCACTTTACTTGGACAAACTGAAGCTTGGGGGAGGCCGAGAATAACAGAACCAATATCCCATGCCTCCTTCTCATCCATGCCTGGCACACACAGGGCCATTCGTGTCCCAAGTGACTAAGATGCTCAGCTCTCAGGGTCCCTGCCCTATTCACCCCACCCCGCCCTGCCCCAAGCCTGCAGCAGGGGATGCTGGAAAGGGCTCCTTGAAGATAGCTGCCAGCCTCATCTCCAACCTTATGGGGTGATGTTGGAGGGTAGTTTAGAAATACAGGTCAGCCCTTCGGCAGGTGTAGACTGGGCATCTGGGAGAGGGGCTGAGTACTGGGCTGGGAACAGCCTTAGAGAAGCACATGGCATGACGTTAGTCATAAACCCTGCCGCGTCATTGGGAAATTGAGCCTGTTTCTCAGGGGGTGGCACAAAGTGTCTCAGTAGCAGGTAGCAGGTAACAGTTTGGGTTTATGGAGGGATCCAGGTGGATAGAGCATGGTTGCCACAGACAGCCTCACTGCCCCTGGCTGTGGTCCGTATGAAAAGCTGTGACTAAGCTCAGATGCCTTCTGAGCTCCTAGGCTCAGGGATCCAGGTGTTGGTGAAACCAGAGGCGGGAGCCTGGAGAGGGCGGGGTATGAGAAGGGATGATTTGGGAGCTGATTGGCTCAGGTTGGGAGGGGCTGAAGAAATGCAGCCTTGCCGGCATCGATGAAGCCTGCTCGGTGCTCCATGGGTCCTTGGTTAATTTGGGGGAGAAGAATGAAAGCATTTCTTTCTTTCTTCTGAGAGATAGCTGAAGCCATAGAAGACACCCCCAGATACGTCCCTTCGCACGCACACGCACGCACGCACGCACACACACTCACACACACAAACATTCTGGGGAGATCTGACATCTGGAAGGAGAGGTTTATAAAAAGGACCCATGCTGTGTCTCTGCATAGAAGGTGCACATAGTTTCCCGGTGCATATGTGGCAACGCCTCCGCCATCCCCACCCCCAGACCCTGAAAGCCCAGCTCTGTCTGAGACCTGGGATCTGACTCCTGCTTACCTCTTGCACCTCCTCTCCCTCCATCCCCTTCTGCCGACATTGCTCCAGCCCCACTCGGCTGGATTTTGTTCCAGCAACATGCTGAGCTCATTCCTATCTCCAGTGCTGTGCTTTTTCTCCTGTTTGGAATGCCCCTCCCTCGTTTTTTTTTACATGACCGCCTCCTCATCACTGGAGGCTTAATTTAAATGTTGCTTCCTCAGGGAGGGTCTCCCTGACCACACTCTCCTCCCAATAAGGGCAAATCCCTATAAGGGCAAGGACAGTGGCAGAGGTGACTGCCCCTCTCTCTCCACGTCAACTCTAGTGCTAGTAGCTGGGGGACGCAGTCACTGGCAGATCCTTCTTCCCCTACACCACACATCATTCATACTTTGTACATAGAACATTCAGTCCCCACACAATCGTACAGATAACACATGGCACATGCATACACACTGCTGGCAATAGAAGGCATATATATGCACACCGTATTCACATAACAGAAAATCTGCACCCCAGTCCCGTACACACAACCCATGTGCATACATACTCCAACACTGTGTGTGCACACACAATAAAAATGCACAGAACAGCGTTCTTACACAACACTCACACTGGCTCTTGTTGACAGGTGCACACGCGTACACGTGCACGCACACGTGCACGCGCGCGCGCACACACACACACAGACCATCCCCTCTTCGTTCAGCAGCTGCCCGCCCTCCCTCCCACCAGTGAGAAGGGAACCAGCGGTGACCGGTGGGGGTGCGCCCCGCCACCTGGCACGGGGCTGCGGATTATTAGTTCCTGGTAATTTAGTGCCCTTGTACAGAGTCGATTTGTGCCTTTCATTCCTAATTGATCTAGTGGCTGTTTAAATGGCAGCAGGCATCTGTTGAGAGTAGGAAGGTTCATCAGGCGCAATAATTCATAACACCGTCTGGAATTTGCCTTTCGTGTCCCTCAGCTAAACCACTGCAGGCTCTGCTTAAATTACAGCCACCGAGGCTTTCTTTGGTATTCCACTCAGGGCCAGGAGAATCTTGCATTAAACTGGGATCAGGTTAGATTAGACTATAATATGCTGCAGTATTAGTGGCTGCAAATGAAGACTTATACTGGAGTTTAACCCTTTCACCTGGTTTCTCTTTGTCTTCAGCCGGATGGCTAAGCGAATCCATTGTTTTCCCCTACCAGCTTCCGATGGGGGCTGAATAGATCTTCTAGAGATTTGGGGCTGCAGGTGGGCCACCCTCAGATATTGACCCTCTTTTCCCTTCAGACTGTAAACGGCCTGCAGCCTGGGGGCCCAGCTGCTTACCTGTCAGCTCCCAAAACATGGGTCGGGAGGCAGTGTCCAGGGCCAGGCTCCACCAAGCCAAGCAGCTCATCCGGAGTAGCAATCTCTCTCCCCCCACCCCTACGACCCCTGAGCCTGAGTAGAGTGACCAGCAGGTATGGGTTTGAGGGTGGATGGGGCTAAGTACTTTCTGTCTTTTTGCCTAGAATGATTCGAATTCCAGAATGAGACGGGCTGGTGGGGTTCCCCATCCACCTACAAACACTGTGTGGGTTGGATGCTCAGTCCTTCTCTCAGCGTGTTTAATCATCGTGTGCCGAGATGACAAACACTGTGTGGGTTGGATGCTCAGTCCTTCTCAGCGTGTTTAATCATCGTGTGCTGAGATGGGAAAGCACAGTCTGTTTTCCTTTTCAAGCCTTATCGTGCTTTCCAGTATGGCAGCCACTAGCCACATGTGGCTATTTAAATGAAAATAAGGTCAAATTAAATAAAATTTAAAATTCAGTGGCCGAGGCAGAATAGTCATATTTTAAATGTCTGTTGGCCTTGACTTGTTGGTGGCTACCATGTTCGATAGCAGACATTTTAGATGTTTCCATTGCTGCAGAAATCCCGCTGGACGATGTTGGCTAGATGACCCCCTTTGGCAGAGGCCTGGGGGCCAGGCCCGACACACATGCATCCTCCTGTCTCAGCAAGCAGGGCTTCATCAAAAAGAAAGAGCTAGATTTCAAGGTCTCAGGAGATTGAGGAAAGAGATCAGTGAGGGATATGCTGATGCTTTTTGGGGACCACCGAACGAGGAAATGGGACTCCAGGGTTCAGTGTCAATAACCCATACAAACACATGCACACACACTGGGAGTTAAGACAGAGCAGTTCGCACATGCTGCAGAGAAATAAGAAGGATATGCACTTATACGCGCACATAGGCACACGCATATAACATACATATTTTCAACAAATACTTATTGAGATCTCCATAACTCTCCTAGACTCTGGACAGACAGTGATGAATAACGTGGGCTTCTTTCCTGCCCTCATGTAGCTCCCAGTCTAGTGAGGAAGGCAGGTGATAAAGCAAAGAGCTCAGGGAGCCATCGTATAGGGCGGGGGAGGGGCAGTCAGGGGAGCTTCTCAGAGTGGGTGATGTCTCAGCTAAGACCCACAGAGTCAGTCAGGTAAGCCCTACAGCTTATATAACACGTCACAGTACCACACCACGCACCGCACACACTCACGTACGCTTCACTCCCCGATTCACCGTCAGTCACCGAATATTAAATGCCTGCTATGAGCATGCAGGACAAAGTCCTAAGGATACGGCGATTATCAAGACAGGGACAATCCTGGAGGAAAACGAACCAAAAAATGAAACAAATAATCATTTAATTACAGATGTGCTAAACGTGCGATGATGGAAAAGTGCAGGGAGATGTTATTCATGTAATTGGGTGTCTGACCTGAACTGAGTTGGCTGAGAGATGCGGGACAGACAGGTGGAGACACCTGTTCACCGCGTGTGGATGAGAATTCAGGCTCACACACATCCCCTGTATACACTCACAGACACACAGGCGCTGCCCCTCAGCCGGCTCCAGACAGCCAAGAATGGGTCTGTGACCAACCGTTAATATTCATATCCAGGACTTCTCTGGATATTTCCCACATTTCCTTCCTGGGTTGACCTTGAACCCAAAATGGACACCTACTTCTCTGAAGTGTCACACCTGTCACTAATCAAATATCCATGCAGCTAATATGACCCTGTGGGGAAGAACAGAAGCCCTCGGAGGCCCCAGGAATGGGAGACTTAGATCCTCCATGCCAGGGCATGACATGCTGCCTGCCATCTGGGCTGACTGTGGGGATTGGGGACATTTTGAAGGAGTGGGACCTTGGGAGAAGAAGTGACAGGAAGGTGGGAAAGGGACCCTGGTGGCTTCTGAGCCCAGCAAGCAGCCGGTCTCTGTGTGCACATGTGTGAGCTCTTGATGTCCCCACAGGCACCCTCTTTTCCCGCTCCTGACGCTGCTGTTTGAGAAATGTGAACAGGCCACCCAGGGCTCTGAATGCATCACCTCCGCCAGCTTTGATGTGGACATCGAGAACTTTGTCCACCAGCAGGAGCAGGAGCACAAACCCTTCTTCAGCGATGACCCAGAACTGGACAATCTGGTAAAGACCCTCCAACCCCCACCCCGGCTAGGGTCTTCCTCCCCTCTGATCGCTTCCAAATGCCCCAGAAATGATGCGTTCGTTCAACAAAAATGTTCTGTGGCCACTGCGGGGCAGGCACCAGATGCACCTTCTAGCAGCTGAGAACCATTTTAAGCTCCTTAAACCTAGAGCTGCGTGCACAGGTTACGCTGCCGAAGCTCTCCCCTCCTCAGCACACTGGGGCGCCACTTCTTACGGTGCAGATAGGAGGAAAGGAGGGTCATAGCGCCCAACATGTCTGTGATAGGGGTTCTGAGGGCTGCAGTCCTGGAGTGTTAGTAAATCTGTCAGGCTGCTCAGAGAGAAGCCGATGGCTGGTGTGCTATGGTGAGGAGGATGAGGCCATCGGCATATTCACACGCATCAGTAGATAAAAAGACCTGGAGACACAGTCACGCGGAGAAGGAGGCCAGCAGATGTCCCGTCCATTTAGGGGGACGCAGTAGATCAGGCTCCCAAACCTAGTTTGCCGTGCAGATCATCACTAAAGCTTTTTAAAAGAATACGTATTCCTGGGCTCCGCCACCTGGAAATTGTGATTCGGTAAGTCTGATGGGGTCAGACTTAAACGTGAGTCCACACGTTTAAAAGTTTCCCGGGCAATTGCAATCATCAAGGTTTGGTAATCCCCAGATTAGATGGCTCCTGAAATTCTCATCCAGCCCTGGGAATTCTGCTGAGAGAGAGAGCAATGGAGAGGCTGCTCTCTGTTCATTCATCACGATCAATGGTCGTCCTGAAATTATTAGCCACGATTCCTGATTTTTTTCTGTGGATGGATTACCCAGATTATGCATGATAATTTGGAAACTCTGCAAAACTCTCCTCCCCAAATTGATTATCACAATGCTGACCGCTCGCATCCAGACGTTAGCCGGTACCTGCTCCCAAAAGAGAAACAGAAAAGCAAATGTGTCTCCAAAAAGAAAGAAAGAAAATGTACACACGCACACAGAGTGCACCCACAGAACAAATTTCAATGACTTAGATGTTATTCTGTGCTGTGAATTATCCACCCACTGCTTCTCTCAAGAGTTGAATATGATATTTATGGAGTCCAGAGACCTGCCAGGAGAGCCCACCCTGGCCCGGAAGTATGTGAAGTGTCATGATGGGGTGACATTTAGAGAGGAAGCAGACCTTTGCCAGAGGACAGCACTGGCCCGTCAGGAGTGTTAGTGCAGATGTCTCAGTGCCCCAGACCCACCTCTGTTCATCTCTGTCCTGGCTGGATGGAGCAGCCACACTTCCCAGAAACCCAGACCACAGTCTCCCAGGCCCCCGGGAGAGCTCTTGTTGTGCAGGTCCCCAGGCGGTCAGACGGTAAGTGCTGGCTGGTCTGGCCCTGCCCTGCTGTTCAACTGACCAGGACCTTGGCATTGCAGCCATGAAGCAGGACTTCAGCACCTACACCCACAGGAGCCAGGAGATGAGGCCAACATTTCTGTGGGAACTGTAATGGCCCTGAGGTGTCAGAGCCCTACCTCCTGACTTGACACACAAAATAAATGAGGCCTGAATTGATAGGAAATACTTAAAACCAGACTGAGTAATGTGAAAGAATTTAAACCTTCCTCAGAGGTAGGAGTCCTGGGAAAATAAACCTCACACACCTTTCCCACCACCACCCGCCAGGTGAACTACGGAAGACCCACCAAAGACAGCCTCCTATTCTAGTACAGCCTGGAAGATGCCAAAAAGTGTTCAACTCCGTGGTCTCCCCTTGCCAACACTACCTGGGTCTCTCTGAGTCTGTTCACTCAAAGAATCAGATTTCCTGATTCAATCCAACAAACCTTAGTTAAGTGTCTGCTAAGCGCCGAGCCTGACCTAAGGATGTGGGTATTGTAGGAACTGTCACAGCGTTCCCCCACCTTCTGGCATTCCCTGGTCTTCTGTCTCAGGTGATGGGACTGGGAGTGGTCCAGCCGGTGGAGCACTCTTTGGACATCCTATCTACTGACATGGACCTGATTTACCTAGATGAGTTAGCCACAGTCATGACCGGTTGATTAGTCAATTATTTTAATGGGGACGGTTGAAGGAGCATGAAAGACTTGGGGCTGGCTTCACTGCGTACCGTCTCTGTGACTTTGATGTCTTCACCCCTCTGAAGCTCGGTTTCCTCATCTGTAGATCTACTACACCTGTCTCAAGTGACTGTAATAAAAACATTAGTGAGATGGCTTGTGGAACTAAATGGCCTTTAAGAATGCATGTCACCCAGAATATTAATTTCAAATGCAGCATCGCTAAGGCAAGGTATTCCAGCTCCCTAGCCTCACCTCCTGGCCATGAAGACTGTGGCTGGGCCCCTAAAACTTTACTTGGGGAGCCAAGCAGTGCCCTTCGCTGCCCCTCTGACAGTCCCGTGTTGGGAGGGGGGAGATGAAGAGGCCAACCACAGGAGCCATCATTAGAACAAGAAGCATGTAGCCAGCACAGCCGAGATGCACGTAATTAGAAATTAGAAAAAGGTCAGATCGCGTCATTATCAGCTCAATCAGCTGCCGAGTGCCACAGCCAGTTAATCTGGCATCTGTATTTTTTACAACCCCGCACACGTAGCTCAACGGACTGTAACTCTTTATCCGGACAGATATACTGCGTGGCGGAGCAGGGACATAAAATGAGAGACCCCAAGCAAATGAGCTGAGATAATTGAGAGATTTATTTTTTATATATATGTGTGTCAGGGCGGCTTTCCTTTGCCCTTGAATATTGACTTTCACAGATGGGATTGTCAGGAGGACACTGAGGTCTCCCCAAATTTGTCCCACCCTGGGCTCTCAAGCTCTGACCCTGCTTTCTCCCCAGCCCCACCAAGCCCACCACTGGACATGAATCCTCCCAGCTCCAGCCGATCTCTTCCTCCTCCAAGCAAATTGCATGTCATACCTTCCCCGGCTCCCAACAGTCTCCCAGACAGGTTCCCATGGGAACAGCAAGCTGAGCTCTCCCAGAGCTGCCCAAAGATCAGAGAGGTTCCCAGACTGTAGTTTCTGAGGGACCTTTCTTTCTCAGTTAGCCAGCTGCTCCCACAGTGTGGGGTGGGGGGGGAGGG